TATTTATATATATATCGAATTTCTTATGCGTTATTTCTTATTCTTATCATTTAAAAAGTCATTTGCTACCCGTGAAATGAAATTTCTAATGAACTTTTTTGTAATGTTATTTACTTTCTGCCGTAGATTATAGCTAGATGGCGTTTTTACAACAACCTATATACAACAGCACCTTTTCTTTAAAAAAAATATTAAAACCAACACTTGAAAGCAACAATTTATTTTTCTGTAGAATTTTATTTTCAATTCATTTTTAATCCTAAGTTTTGTCGACGTAATTGAAAACTTTGTTTAGCAAATTTAATTTCATATTTTCTTTTCTTTAGTGCTTTGAAATAAATTTATTAGATCATACTTTTTTCTTCGTCGGAATTTGCTTTTTTTTTAAAGAAATATTTGTTTGAAGAAAATTAATTTCATTATAAGTAAACAACGTGTTTTCGGTCATGATCACTCGGAAGTTTCATCATTTGTAAATATAAACCTTTTTATCACATTAAGGACTCTTTTGTACTCTGAAATGAGATTTTACCTTGCACCAGGAATTGGATTATTGATTCGTCCATCCCGATGTCGCTGACTGCAGTGCAACTATATTTTCCCGAATCATTTCGCATCGCATTGAAGATCTGAAGCTCAGAGGTTGTCTGATGTTTCTTCGATATATTTCTAATGAAGTATCTGCAAAAGAAGAAGGAAGAACTGTAGAAGAAAAAAAAACTGATTTCCTCTTTGAGACAAAGAAAATATTAAACGGTTTATCTTATTTGGAATGCAAATTTCAAAACACACTTCTTTGTTCCTTTTTAAACGACTGAACTTTGTGCCACAAAATGTTCGAAGATGAAAAAGTAATTTAATTTGATTTACCATTTTTTTCCCCAGTTACTTCCTGATTAAAATTTTTGTGTCCGCAACTGCTACAAAATAACTTATTTATCTGTTAAGTATATCCTATCAACAGATGGTATAATGAGTTTAGAGTTCACGCCAAAATGATATACTTAATTCTAAGAAAGATATCCAAGCATGATTTTCTAAGAAATCATGAGTGTAAGGAGAAACCATTATCAACTTAGCGGTGAATATAAAGAATTTATTCTCGTTCTTGTTTCTGAATACGGGTCTACTACTGTCTGCCTAGGACACCATCCTGTGTCTTACTTAGCGCTTTCGTATACCAAGTAAATTTTACTTATTTAACCATACAGTTCTCCGTTTCATTCATATCTGGCAACATCCACTTCTCCAATTAGCGAAGCCCACGACTGCAATTAATGTTTTGAGTTGTCCCTAAAGCTATTGTGTTTTATTATTTTATAACTTTATTTCATTCGCTTACGCGTATTGTATTAATAAATCATACAGAACGGTTATTTTGTTATATTTCAAAGCATATTTTTTTTTAAAAAAAAGCCATTTATAAAAAGAAATATCGGAGAGTCGCTTTTTAATAATTTTTTGAGAAACGGGATTTAAAATGCAAGAGTAAACTTTAAAACCAGGGATTACGTTTGTAAAGAACCGCCATTTTACAGGTTAGATGGTATTGTAACTAACATATTAACAATGCAAATTAACATTCTTGAATTATTGATTGAATATTAAAAAAAGTACATCATGCAAGCGCATTTTACCACATTTTTATTATTCTCAATTTATAGGTTAATTTTGATTCAAAAATTCTAAATAAACTTTGATTGAATTGAATATATGATGCCTTTTTTCTATCACAATTATAGAAAATGATGTTAAACGCGAGCAAATGATTTTAAACGCAATTATTTTTAATTACATGAAAAAATTAACACTTATAACAAAAATTTAATGTTGAGTATTTTCATTTCCGATAAGGTTTTTGGGCAGTCAAACTGAAATACGATGCCTCAAATACGCGTCTAGATACGTTATAGTGGTCTCAGAAATAAATAAATAAATCTACTATGCTAAAGTGTAAAGTGTAAGTGTAAAGTGTAACAATAATATACTAATTTGAGTTTCTCTATCATATTCTAAAGCATTCGTTGAATTAATTCATTCAGATTACGGAGATACAGGGCGCAAAATAAAAAACGGACCATTCTGAATTACTTTTGATCTAATGATTGGATCTTCACGGTTTGTGGCACAATCTTAATGGTTTGAGCGGGTGACTTCAAATATGCTAAATAACTAGTGCAGACGATGTTTTAAGTTACGAAATCAGACACAAAAACGTACTTTCTCTGAATAAACGTATCTTTATTTCGACGGATTCAGATTTCTCCCCCCCAAAATGAAGGGGTTAGCCACAATCTGAGAAACATTCTTCATAGTTCGGTCTGGAGAGCGAAAGTTTGGATCCCTTAATGTTAATTTAAATTTCTTGTGTATTTAACCATATCTCGAGAAGCTTTCAAGCGAATTGAAAATTTTTTGCACACAATTACAAAATTCTGTTATTTAAATATAATTCTATGAAAAAAATGAATTTCAATAAATATTTATTTTTAATATTTTATTTAATAATTTTGAATTATACGGTATACAATTTTTATACAGTTTTTAAAGAATGTAATTTTAAATGGAAATTATAAAATTTGAGCGAAACCGGTCGAATAGTTCTTGAAAAGTCGAATTTTAACGATGCCGTATTTTTAAATCAGGGTTTCTTTGGAACTATTCGACCAATTTCGCTCAAAATTTGTATTTTGCCTTGTAAAATTGCATTCTTTAAAATTATGTGAAAAAAATTATATATTGCAATTCATATTCCTTGCGACACCTTTTAAATGAAATAATAAAAACTAATAAATAGTTGCTAATGGATATATTTTGTATGAAATTATCTTTGAGTAAGCGATTTTTTTATTTGTGTGCAAATACTTTTGAATTCGTTGAAAAGTTTCGAGATATGGCGAAATATGTAAAAAATAAATTTAACATAATGGGATCCAAAATTTGTATCTCTCACCTCGCCAAAATATGGAGACCATATTTCTCAGATTGCGGCTGCCCTCTACATTTTGAGGGTCAGAAACCTGAATCCATCGAATGAAAGCAATGTTTATTCAGAGAAAGTACGTTTTTGTGTCTGAATTCGTAAATCAAAATATCTTTAGAACTAATTAATTAGCATATTTGGGGTCCCCCTCTCTAACCTTTAAGATTGAGTCTCAGAACGTGGAGATCCTATCATTAGATCAAAAGTTTCCAGGTTCAAAATTCAGGTTTTGATTATTAAATACAGAATTATTATAATTTTATGTAAGAAAAGTTTGTTAACATATTTATCGTAACAAAACAAACCACTACTTGAATTTAGAAAAAAAAAGCAATAGATACACTGAAAAAAAGTTTAAACTTAGGATTATAGCACGTGTGACACAATAAGAAGTTATAGAAGAGGAGTAATTTTACTACTTCTTGTTATCAATCTATAACGTTAATTCTATATTGTAAGACAGCTAAAACTGGAAACTGTTCCTAAGTATCTTGAGACTTTTACATTTTGAAAAAAAAATTCAATATAAATGACTTGATTTATATATGGTAACATATAATCATTTTGTAAATGAAGTACATGAACAAAAATGGGCCTTTTAACTCTGTAGTTTAACAGTTAATAATTATTGAACTAACTCTTGAATTTGTTAAATTCTTTAATACCGTCGAAAGCCCTGTATAATTTTATGTACACTCTCGTGATATCTTATAGTTTTCATAATGCAACCCAAAACAATGTTAATAACAATAATGATACCTTTTGTTCGATTTAGCATCCAGTATCGTTTTGTCTTTCTGCCAACTGATGGTGATGGGCGTGTGTCCAGTGGCGTCACATTTGATGGTGGCATTCATTCCTTCTTTGGTGGCTCTGTTTTGAAAGGAATCTTTAAATCTGGGAGGAACTGAAAATTAATAAAACAAATAAAGACTTTTTCATCAAAGTAAGGTTAAAATTGTCATAATTTTTAATAAAAGGCTTTTTTATTACACATAGATAGTATATAACATCCAAACTTAAATTGAATTAAAAATAATAACAATTGCTACCAAAAGACATCTTATCTTATGGTTGAGCAGTATAAAATGCCTAAAATTAAGAAGAAGAAAAATAACACTATTGCAACTAAATGACATTTTGTTCGGAGCAATTTTCGATACTCAGGCATTTCAATCATGATACTTTTTAGTCCATAAAATGCATGGAAAGTAATTAAACTAAAATTAATGCATCATCAGCATCGATTTAATAGTCTACTACATCCTAATACTATCAGTTTAATCAAAACTTAATCAGTCAGCTACTTAACTATCGGCTGCACCAACTGCAAAATATTTCATAAATTCCAGATTTGAATTCCATGTTCCATATTAATGCAATCAGTTTTCTCTCTTAAAGTTTACATAAAATATTCAGAATGGAGAAAAATTAACAAAAAATGAACACCAGATAATGGTTTGTTCATTTGAAGATTGGAGTCTTTTTTTAAATTTATTTTTTAATTTCAGAATTTTTACTTCAAACCAATCAAGATTTTCATCGTTTTTAGACCTTTGCTTTCACAGTTGCTAACTGTTTTGTGCACTTTTCTAAGATGACTGTTTTATCATTCGTCGTAGAATTATTGATATAAGAAAACTTTTAAAAAATAATTTTATCTTAAGAGAACAAAAGTGTTCAATACGTTATTCATTTTCCATTACTGTTTCGCTCTAAATTAATGTTAACTAATGTGTTATTTGCGAATGTGTAAGCCGTTAACTTCCAACACTTATTTTGGTCGATGTAAATTTTGCATGGGTAAGAAAGGCCCCATTTCTAAAAGTTTCGAGCATGATTTTTCAAATAATTCCAACAATTTAAAATCTCAGAAAACATTTATTGCCGAAAGAAAGATTGTTTATGTAGAGTTAGTGTAGAAGTGTTTCCATATTTTAGTCCAACTCTTGAATGTAATGGTATAAAATAAAAATAACTATACAATGCGGCGGAAGTGAAGTCATGATAGAAAGTTAAAAATTAGTTATTTCTGCCTGGACGGAAAACGAAAATATTTCATAAACCGAAGGTTAGCTTATTTCTACCCGCTTGCTTATTTCTGCCTAGTTTCGGTTTACGACATATTTACTGTTTATGAAACTGGGCAGAAATAAGCAAGCGGGTAGAAATAAGCTAACTTCCGGCTTACGACATATTATAGTTTTCCACCCAGGCAGAAATAAGCAACTCTCAATGTTCTGTCAAGACGTCCCTTCCGCTGCATGGATCCCGACTGTGTGGTAAACTCAAAATGTCGAAATGCTTTTAAATCCATTTTATTATTCGAAAGGTAATTTTTTTATTTTAGATCTCTAAATTCTGAAATTGAAAAAAAATTCTAGCTTCTTTATTTGTTCAAAAAATATCGAAACCACTATCGGACCACTTTCAAAAGATATGGATCAGTCCATTCCTACATATATACATCACACACTTTCCGTTTTGCAATCTTTCTTTATTTAGCTCACTCTTAAAAATGTAAACATTTTGATTAGAATTGAACATCATGAAAGTAAAATACTGGATTTTCAAGTAAAATCAAAATGAATGCAAATGACTCCATTCATTGATGAATTGTTTACCTGTTTGAGAATTTTATTTACATAGTTAAAAAATTTATATTTTATTCAATTTATAATATGTATTCACTTTATCTTCAATTCAAAATCATTATTATATACTTTGAACTTATTAGACTTAAAATTTTGTTGCATTTTTTTTAATAACTGCTAAAATCTCTTCCCTCAGAATAACTAAAATTTCTCTATAGTTAATTTCATTACTGTTACCAATCGATATCGCTTTGCACTGACCACAGTGCTGACGTGAAATATTCTCAGTGGTATACGGATCATGGGTTAAAGTCCTCTTTCAGTCAGGCTAACCGTGGGAGGTCCTCGCGATCTTCCTCTCCATGAAACGCAAATGCTGGTTAGTTCCATCAAAAAATCCTTCACGAAGGCAAATTTCGTACAATACTTGATCCGGGATTTCCCTTGTCTTCTATATATATAGGGTTCAAAATTACAAGGCTACGGAGTTGAACATTTGTAGTCGTAAACCCGAATTTGGGTCGGCTGTTCAACGACGGTTATAAAATAAAATAAATAAAATAAATTGAATAAACTCCAATGTATTTTATAAAACCGATTCTCACTTTAGTTGTATGTTACTTTTATACAATTTAGACTGCACTGTATTATACAAAGCTGACTGTCACTTTTGCTGTCTGTTATTTTATATTATAAGAATTCCACTGTGTTTTGTATAGCTGATGGCTATCTTTTTTTGTTACATTATATAAAGATACAAGACACTCAAAGCAAAAGTAATGTTAGAAGAAGAAGATTTCTACCCAAAACCTGGAGGGAGATAATTTTGCTGAGTCCAGCTCCGATTCCATTATTAGCCTGGCAGAGATAAGCACCCGCATCGTTTTCTTCAGCATCCGAGATGACTAATGTTCCGTTGTTGTAACGATGAGCTCTAGGACTGGAATGCACATAAGTGAAATCACCAGCTGTGTTCTCTGCAATGATCATCATCTCACTTTATTAGAAATGTTAGATCCCTTTTTATAAAGATAAATTACACCAGTGATAAAAATAGCATTCAATAAACCATAAATATTTTCCGAGCAAATATATCTGAAGTAACCGTAGTAAAAGGATAAAAAAGGTAATTAAATATTCAATAAAATCAATATGCAATCCACACGGTTTGAAAGCGGAAATAAGTCGACTGAATTTCAGTTATATTTTTAATGCAACGTTTCAAGTTTTTGAGAATCTTGTTATTCTAATATTTTTCGCACGTTTTAAGGTTTTAGGGAAATAATGAAGAAAAAAATTGCTTTTTTTTAACTTTTATTCTAGTGATTCCAGTATTTGCATAAATTAAATAGAATAAAGGTGGGTCATAACTGTAGTTAAAACTGTTAAGATGCAAAACGATGTTCTCTAATAAATATATGTTACAAAATAACAAATTTCAGTTTCTATTCTTCAGCAGGCTGTAACAAACACGTTTGCTGTCTGAAATAATACAGAAAAAACAGATCCAGTAATAGTTTCTATTTAAGGGAAACGTTTTTCTGCTGACGCTTTCATTTATTGAGTTGCATAAGGTTTATTAAATTTAATACGGTTAAAAATAGCTGATACATTAAATCTTTAACAATCACGTAATAAATGAATAAAATGAATTACGCCTATTTATATTTTTCATTAATTTTTTTAGTTAAAAATTGCCAAAAAATGACAATATAGAAAATTTAAACTTTTTATTACGGTCAGTGACAGACAAAAAGTGCTTCAATCACTAATCGTAAAAATAAGTTTTTCTTTACCGAAATCACTAATGTCGAGTGTAATTATAACGTTGCTGCTTCACACGTGTTCCGAATTGTTTTTATTTAAACTGCTTTAACCCAGTTTTATAGTTTATTGTTCGAAAAGAAAATCTTTTAAGCAAACGAGTTCAGTTATTTTAGCTTTGGTTCTCTTAACCGCGGTGGCATTTCAACCCTTAAATTGATCGATTGTTTTTTTGGTTGAAGTGCCACCGTGGTTAACAGAGCCAAAACTAAAACAACTGAACTCGTTTGTTTCAAAAAGTTTCATTGCGAACAACAAACTACAAAACTGAGTTAAAGCAGTTAAGATAAAAGCAATTTTGCTTACGTGTGATGCAGAAACATCACAGTAATGGTGATCTTTGAAGCAGGCTGGGATCGAACCAATGACCTTTGCGACCTTGTAGTAACTAACATGGGAAATAGTGTACACCTTCGAAGTGAGTTAAGAGGCTTAACCATATAAATGTATATTATAACCGTATAAATTAACGTTGAACTCTGGCAGTTTTGAAGTTTTTAACAATTACGACCACTGGATTTTTCTCAAAGAAAGGATTTGGCTTAATAAATTAACGATGAACTCTATTAATAATTTTAAGTTTGTTAAAGTTACGGGCTTTTTTCTCAAAGTAGGAATCTAATCCTCAAAATAATAACAAATACTCTGAATTTTACTGAATTCTCTCAGATTGTATTGAAAAACTATTTGAAAAACTATTTCTCCCGCAGTGGACTGATCGTTAAGACACGGTTCCCAGCCGATCACCGCAGTGTGCGGGTGGGTGACCGCTTGGATTAGTCTGCTAAAGGACCGAGAGTGTGTGATATTGGTCCTCGTTAAACTGTTCTACTGTAAAGTGCTCGACTTCGCTCGTAGGCCGTCGGGCTACCGAAGCGGGGGTGCCATCCCCTCTGCAGAGGATCAAAATTGAGATGGCATGTCTTCGGATCATCCTCAGGGATGTTTCCCAGACCGTCGCCAATAGCCCATTGTGCAGCTCTAGTGCGACGTACATTAACTACAACAACAACAACAATTGAAAAACTATTTGGAAACAAAATTAATTTAAGCTTTCGTTTACAAAAATTGAACCGAAACTTTTTTCAGAGCATACCATTTTGTGTAATACAGTAGTAATTAGTATGTTTTTCTTCACAACATGCCAGTTTATTACAGATCAAGGTGGTCCTAACTAGTCGTTATTAAATGCTGGGCTTATGAAATCCCACTATTATATGCTAGGCTTCATCATGCCAAGATATCTATGACTTTAAGGCATTTTTGCGACCGGGATAGCCAGGTAGGTGTTGGTAGGGCACTGGGTTGATGTACAAAAGGTTGTGGGTTCGATCCCCACCTGCTGAAGACTCCCCGTGTAGTAAATGGTGACTAGTGCACTCAAAATCTGTCGAGTCACAAAGTCATCTATGTTTCTATAATAAATCATACCTCTGGGGGTTACTGATCCAGAAGTTTCCTTGTCTTCTGGATTGGTTCAAAATTACAAAGCTACGGCGTTGAACATTAGTAGTCGTAAACCCAAAACCGGGTCGGCTATTCAACGACGGATATAATTTAAGGTATTTTTCTTCTTTTTCCGCAGCTTCAATTCATCTCGTCTTCCTCTTTTGGGGGGGGGGGTTCAAATAACTAACCAAAACTTAACTACCAAAAACCAATTTATTAATTAGGATTCCGTAGTATTTCATAACAATAATATTGTTTGATTGTTCAAATATTTTTTTTTTTGCGTAACTCATGATTGTATAGATTTCGCTAGACATTTTAAAGATGTAGAAGCAATGTATCTGTGTTTTTAAAAAGTCAGTCACCGAACGTTATTTAGCGCCATCTATGTTATGAAAACTACCACAATTGCTAAAATGGTATTATTTGCGAAATGTTATGAACAATTCTATTCCCCTCATCAAATAGGATGTTGTGATCAAAAATATCACTACACAAGGAAATTACTGTAAAAACATTACTTGTATCTTCAAATCCAATTTACCGATGAGGTGCTAATAAATCTATTCATAAAAATGTCGTTTGAACTCAAAAAATTATACTCTTTTAATATTTTGTCTGTTTAAAATTTAAAACAAGATTTCTAATCAATAATGTTCTACTGTTTATCTCGAAAATAAGTGAACTATCCGAATTAAATTAAATAAAACTTTTTAAACGAACTACATATAACACGTTATTAAAAATAGAAAAAAGGAATACATAATTCCCATCTGATTATCATTTATTACTTTTCTTCTTCTTCGAGAGAGGAACATAGTTTTTGTTTATACAATTTTTAAAAGTACCCCAAAAATACATTTCGGGGAAAGTACTTTAAAGTAAAACTATTTAACAAAACTGAACCTCCCTGACTGTGCCACCAGTTCATTTGAATAAAAAAACACACGGAACATTTCAACTTTATAAACAGGAAAAATTTGTTATTATAACTGAAATTAAATATAGAACGCGTTCGAAAAACATCGTGCTGAACTATGTTTTTCTTAGAATTAAACGTCATAAAGAAACTCTTTCATAAACAAATACACTTTTAAAAGTTTATATGCAAAAATAGTTGCTTTGTACTTAGTTTTACGCTATATTTATTCCAAAAAAAATGTTTTTCATTAAAATTAAAATGTTGCCTAATAATTTTTAAAAAAATATTATACTTCTGCTTGAGTCAGAAACAGATATTTTTCTTTTCCTAAAAAGGAAAATATTCGTGTTTTTGTTAACTCAAATTCATTTTAACTCTGTTTTGAAAATTTCAAGACCCGAGGGAGCCTCGCCACGATGTTTATTCAACATATTTTAATAAGTTAACTTTTTTGAGATAATTTAATACCAAAGGTAAAATACGTTTTTAGTTTCTTTCTTTTTTTTTGAATTCTAGTTTTTAACGCTACACTAATCACATTACCACGATTTGGAATAATTTAATAAGGAAACGGTTCTAATGATTTAAAATGACTAAATAAAAAAAAATTGTCAAATAAATTTTTAATAGAGGATCTTAAAAAAAACACGTACTTTTTATTATACTTTCATCGACATGTGCAAAAAAAGCTGTTTTTATAAATACTTTTTTTTATCGAATAAAAACGAGTGCACACTGAAACTCGGCGTGTTAAGACGCGATTTTCTTTTTCTTTAACATCTTTCGTGACATTAATTATAATTTACAAACGCTTAAACTCGTTAGTTCTCTTTTAATCTTTCAATTTTCCACACTGACGTAGCACTGAGGTTGTTGTTTGCATCCTCACCCCCCCCCTCCGCTCCGAGTTTTGTGAGTTGAGAAAGATATTAAGGAAGTTTTCTTTTATTTATTACTTATTTCTCTGACATTAATGAAGTTAAGCTTCTAGTTTATTGATGTTTTCTTTAAAAAAACATTTTTGTTCTCACATAAAATCATATCATTATCTTTTACTGAAAGATTTTGAGTTGTTACCTTTTTAAGTTAATTATCAGCATTTTCACTCACCGATTCTATAATGACGTGAGATTGAGTTAGTATAATAAAGACTTTGTAGCGTTTGGGACTTGATTTGCTTTATAGAAAATGCCTACAAGGATAATTAACCCACAAATGCGTTATAAATAAAATATGAAATATAATCTAAAAGCTTGCAAATAATTATAAGCGTAATTACATTAGATTATAAATGTTAATTAAATTAAATTGTGTGTAATTGTTAAATAGTTGTCATATAATGTAATGAACAACAAATTATACCAACAGTGACATTAATATGGTTTCAAAATATTTAGAAAAAAATGCTGCTCTCTTTGGAGCTTTAATTTCAATTTCACTCAAACTTCTATTGCTTAAAAGAATCACTCTAACGTCAAAATGTATAAGGCTAGTTAGAAAAAACGACTGCTTGCAAACCATCGACGTCTTTTTTCAATGTGCAATGCTAATTGGAAAAGACTACTACAGCATCATGCTTTTTAAGCTTTTTGCAATGACTATATATATTTTCAGATACTCAGATATCTATCATTCCTTGCTCAATTAACTTGATTTATTTCAAACAATTTGAAATAACCTTTGATATTTTTAGAATAGTGACAGGGAAAAAAATCGATCTTCACTCAATTAGTCTGATTCACTATTCTTCTCTATTCAAAATGTTGATATAATTCCCTGTTTTCTGCAATTATTCAAGTGACACATTGAAATAAGAAAGTTCCATTAATCAGGCTAATTGAGCAAGGAATGATATACTTTCAGATACCAAGGTTATATATCATTCCTTGCTAAACTAGAATGATTAATTTCAAATAAATTTAAATGAGGTTAGATATTTTTGAAATAATTAGGGAAAGAAAGCTTGAACTTCGGTTAATTAATCATTATCATCGTTCTTCTTTATTAGAGGTGCTGGTATAACCTATACATACAAAGCGATGAAATTTGGCATTAAAATAGTTTGAAGCTTGAGGAAGGTCGCTGTCGACATTGGAACATTCTACGACGAACCGTTCGAGCTGGATGAGCGAAAAAGGAAATGGAATTTTCTGATAGGTTCACGTTTGCCATTGTAATAAATTTTATTATAGACAATTTAACTTTAAAATATTTTAAAGATAACATCAGAAATATTTCCCAGCTTATAACTCTATTTGATCAAAGAACTTTCTTGCACACACTTTAATATTTAATTTTATTTTTAATTAGTTGTGTCAGCATTGACGCGGTAGCGTTAGTGAACTACATTTATTTTGTTTATGTGCTTATAGTAATTATCTTAAAATGTGCTTCAATAAATGTAAATAATTTAAAATCAAATGAAAATAATTCAAATGAAAAAGAATTAGTATAGATGATTAGATGATGATTTAGTATATATGATGAAAATTAGATATCAGTACCTGTATAGATGAGCTTTTTCCATAGAACACTAGGGGCAGGAAAACCTACTGAGGCGCAATCCATCCACACAGTATTCCCTAGTACAACACTAGAGTTCCTAGGTTCAACAGTCCACTGAGGAGGAACTGAAAAAGGCAAGACCGAAACTTCTACTTAATTATTTTCAATTGAAAAGCATTTTTACATACAAATATGAAACATTCAAACAGCTATTTGTCTATATTGGAACAAATCTTGAAATACTTGAAGTAAATCATGAAACTATTCAAATAAATGTGTTCTAATGAATTTATTTTTGGACATAAATAGTATGAATTAAATATATATAAATTAAATATATATAAATTTAAAGTCTTAAAAGATTTTGTGAATAATGGATTTTGAATGTGATGCTTTTGGTAGTACTATCTAATGCGTTTTGTAAAAATTTCTAAGCCAAAGACATACTGAGTTGATTTATATTAATTATTCATCATTATTTTTTTTTGTTTTATTTTCATTTTTTTAAATCGTCAGATGGTAGAACAAAATGAAATCATGTTCCCTTTATATATATATTTCCATACATTTCGGTTCACACGTTTATAATTTTGATGATAAATTTTTTCTCCTTCAAATGTTTGAGGGAATATAAACAACCAATGAAATTTATTTTGTATTTTTTTGCCAAAATAATCAGACTTATATTAAAATAAACTTTTAATGCAGTGTTTAAAGTTATGTAAGTTGTTTGTAATTTCTGATGTTAAGCTGAAGAACTATGGTCTTTTACAGTTATAAAAATCAGTTACAGTTCGTATACGTAAATGATTAAGCAATTTCAGCATCGACTGGCAAATAGCATATACAGTAAGGGGCAAAATTCTTTGAGACGATAATTTTTCTGTAATTAAAAACTTCTTAATTATTCATCCTAGTAATTTGTAGCTTCAGTCATGCTGTATGGGAAACAACTAATAATAGACTTGAAAAAAATTCAACCTAACAAACACCAAACAAAAATTTGGTAATTGGAAATCAAAAGTTTTGAGATGATTAAATTTTTCCATATTTTGATTGAAATTTAAAAAAAATTAAGCAAATTTTTAATACTTCGTTGCACACCATTTTGTTTTAATGACTGCGGTACTCATAATAGGCATGTAATTAAAAATTTTGCATATTCTGCTATCGCCACCAAGTTTAGAATTCCAAAATCAGCCAAAATCAGACATAGCGAAGAAGTCGAAAGATGGAAAAAGAAAGCACGATCGTCCGGAATCAGAAGCACCAAGAAAAAAAAAAGACTAAACAAAGACGCGTTAATATTAAAAAAAAAAGTAGGTTGTTGATACAAGCAAATCTGTAAAAAGACTGTCACCGAATATGGAATCGTAGTGAGTAAAAACACCATTCGATATCGTTTGAATGCAACACGGGTTTCTGTAAAAAAAAACTGGTTCCTGCCCGATTAAAATTTGCAAAGGAGCACGAAGCATGATCAACTCAAAATTGATAGAAGATCCCTTGGAGTGAATGCTGTATCTGAATTTAATTTTTTTGCACAGTGATGGAAGAAGTTTTATTCTTCGTCCAAAAGGCATCAGAATGGATTTCTGATACCAACTGCCAATAGTGAAGCCATAGAAATGGATCGCTTTGTTCTGAAAGAGCTTTCTATAATAATGGTATAGCCCCCTCGTATGCATCTATGGAACAATCGATAATCCTTATAAGAACAATTCGGAAGTTCACATGCTACCTTATGCTCTTAAAGAAATGCCCCATAGACGGATTTTACAGCAAGATGATGTTCCAAAGCACACCTCGCAAATTGTGACTTTCCGATCAACAACTAAGAATCTTAAGACTTTGAACTTTCCGAATCAATCCCCTGACCACAGTTCAAGAGAGCACCTTTGAGAATTAAAAGACAGAGTGCAGAAACATTCTTCAAAAGCAGAATTGTTTCAAGATCTTTACTCGGAATGAGCTAAAGTACCTATGTCGACTCTAGAATGTTACATACACAGATGGTGTGCCGTATTCATGAAAGCAAAAATATTTTCTAAAATTTCTTATGTTACGAAGATTAATTTCAATCAAAGTTTAGAAAAACTGAATCGTCTCAAAATTTTTGATTTCACATTTTCAAATTTTAGCTCGGTGTTTGTTAGATTAAAAATTTTCAAGTCTATTATTAGTTGCCTTTCATGTAAGAAGACTAAAGCTACAAATTACTAATATACATCAATAAGAAATTTTGCTTACGCAAAAAGTTAAAACAGAAAAGTTTATGGTCTCCTAACCTTTGCTTCCTACCGTAGGTACTTAATTGCAATAGTACAAAATTATATTTAAAGTGGAGGATGGTAAACTTATTTTTACTTTTGAAAAGAATAAAACCAAAAATTCTCAAAGCAGCTCAAAGAAAAAATATAATTGTTAATGAAAAATTCATTTGCTTTATAAATGAAATGGTGAAAAAATTCGACGTGTTTCTAAAGCTTTTGGGTGACATTGTTGCCTTGGCTTCGGCTATCATGATTTTTCTTGTTTTGTTTTCCCCTATTATTTTCCTTTCTATTTTTTTTTTGGTTGCCAACTATGCTTTTTTTCGACTGTGTGCCACGGTTTTCAATGTTTTGTTTTTCTCCTTTATTTTATTTTCTATTCTCTGTTGGCAACTAAGCGTTTTCTTTTTAAATTCTGTTTTGTTTTCAACATTTGAATACAGTTGTCAAGAAAATGAGCTCCTTGTTTTCAGCACTTCGACTTTTCATCCAGTATAATGAGATGACGCAAATGAAATTGATAAGTATGCCTTTATCCTTTCACCAATAAGGAAAATTTATTTATTAATATGGTAATCCTAAAATGTAGTTATCTCACCAATAAGGAAAATTTACTTGTTAATATGGTAATCATAAAATGTAGTTATCTCACCAATAAGGAAAATTCACTTATTAATATGGTAATCCTAAAATGTAGTTACTTAAAAGCTTTTCTTTCCTTCTTTTTTCCTAAGAGAGATAATGGAATTTCGATCTCAATGAGTTTTGTTTCTATTATGGTAAAATTGTAGAAGACTCAATTAGGAATATATTAATTTCTTCTATTTAAGACTTTTACAACCTCAAATTCTGGTTTAAAAAATGCTTTTAAACGTATCTAAAACACTCTTAATTTTACCATTAACTATGAGTTGCATGGTCATGTTGGCAGAGGAGGCCACATTGGTGGCAACACAGGTGTACATCCCTCTGTCGGCTGACGTGACTCTCTTGAAAGCAACAATCGATGAATCTTCCGTTGTCTGGACAGTGGTGTCACCGTGTGCAATGAAGGGTAATCCATTTTTCAACCAATGAAATCGCAGAGGCGGGTCCCCTTTGGTCACGATGCAAACCAACTTTGTTCTGGCACCTTCGTCCACAGTGTTACTCTCTCGAAAGAAGTGGGGATCAATCACGGGCGATACTGAAAGAAAAAAAATCAATTTTAAATAAAAATGTTTATAAAAATTGCTGACTTTCAGGAACATTGAAGCTAAAAATCTTATTATAATTGTAATGCTATTGCTTCCTAGCTTAAATTTATAAATATATTTTAATTATTCTAATCAGATTTTAAATCAATAAAATAAACTAGTTAATTTTTATCCTATTTTAGGAAAAGCGAATATTTTTTTCTCATTTCAAATGTCTAAAAATTTTACGCCATCGTTGTACTTTACGGATTGTATCGTTGAACTCTTTTCGTGAGCATCATATAGGTGGATCAACGTCACACCAACAACATAAGAAGGTCAGAGCAGAGGGAGAGAGAGGGGGGGGGAATTACACTCTTGCCTGGAGCGGTATTCGATCCTGAGACCTTTCTGACTTGAAGTCAGCTCCCTAACCACCATATAGGCGCCCGCCTGCATAAAATACTCGTCTGGGGTTCTTGGTCATGAGTCATGGTTGATGTCATTGATGAGGGTCTTGGCCATGACATCGATGAAGCAGGAATATATTCATATCAGGACAAGGTAAAATCCATACATTTCAGTATCCCATCAAACGATACCGTACTGAAACAGCTGCTTGGAATGGCGAATTATCAAACAAGAGTTATTTAACTATTTTCAGTTATTACGTCAAACTTGATTTTTAAGTTATCCATAAAGAATAAGTTTGTTTGGAACTCTCCACAGGCAAGTGCACTGAAAAAGGTGAAATGCGTGTTGTCATTCAAATCAATACTCAAATCAATATTTCAGCTGATGCTTCTTCTTTTCTTTTTATGAATTAGAAGCCACATCGCGTCAGAAACATGATTCTACAATTAAGTTAGTAGCTCATGCATCCAGAATTCCTAATTTCCAATGACAAACGTTACGCCCACATAAATAATTTGATGATCTGCCATAATTTTGTGATTGGGAATGGAAACTAGTTGTTTGCACTACTCCTATTGGTCATCATTTCCATTCCAATAGAAATGGCTTCTGATTGGTTGCTACTAGTAACTGATTGATCATTGATAATTTTTTTGCTGACAGGTACGAGAAGTGGTGTCAGTTTAAATCTCTCTATTAATTAAGATAAAGTTTACGAAAACTTGCTACAGATATAACCCATGATCGTTCTACTGGATCGTATGTCACTGACGTGAAATATCCTCAGTGGTAGATTGATCATGGGCTAGAGTCTCCTTGTCTTTAAGCTAACCGTTTGAGGCTCTCGTGGTTTCTCTCTCCATGTAACGCAAATGCGGGTTAGTTCAATCAAGAAGTCCTCCTGGAAGGCAAATGTTTCCCTATACTTGATCAAGGAGTTACCTTGTCTTCTGGATTGGGTTCAAAAATTACAAGGATACAGAGTTGAACGCAGGAAGTTCAGCGACGGATATGAAATAAAAATAAGAACTCAGTAATTTATTTGTAAAAATAATAATTTTTTACAAGTAAAAAGTGAGGAAGATCACATACGAGATGGCTAGATAATGTAGAAAAGTATGTGAATAATGTGGGAGTTCCTAGTTGGAAAGTTGTAGCATCTGATAAATTAAGATGGTTAAAGCTGCCTGAGATAGTCAGGGTTGGTAATCGGCCATAGTGTAAGAGATAGATATTTCTCTGGAAAAGTCAATTCCAATTTTTAAAATATACATGCATATTTTGTGGATAATTTTTTTTAAAATAAATGTTATTTATCATGATCTGAAAAATATTATTAAGAAATAAATTATATTACTCACTTCCTGTACTTATAAATCCCTAGTTAAGCAGAAACAATTTATCAAGGAAAAATTACTTTTCATATTTATTTTGTTATCGTTCCTGTTAAAACCCATTACACGGTAATTAATCGTCTCCAGGAAAAAGAAAAACGCACTTATTGAATGAGAAAGATTAATGTTTCTAAAATTATAAATGTCACTTAATAAATTAATGCAATTAAAAACCATTCTTATCATTATAATAGCAGATTCATAAATGTTATTAATGACCTTAAATACTGATGAGATTATGTCAAAATGAAACTTATTTATAATGGCTCTGAACGCTTATGAAAACCAGGCCCTGCATGGTTTACATTTAAAGTTATAAATTTTAATGTCATCTTATAAAAAATTACTTTGAATATGAACTATAGAGTACTTAATAAAAAAAAATTCTCAAAAAAATAAGTTCTAAAGGAAATTGAAAAGCGAAAAATAATCTTAAGACTCGTTAAAAAACAAGAATATTTTTTCAAGTAAGAAAAAAATGATGAAATCTATATTTCTTAAAGATTTTTTATTATTGTTAGAATACATATTAATATACAATTGAACCAGAAATACAATGCCAACTTGGAACAGTTGTATCAGATTACAAACGTGTCATTTACAGAAATTATAACAACGATTGGCATTTATGAATGCTAATCATTATTCTTTATCGAAACATTATGAAAAATTATACATTATAATTATAATCAAAGGAGAGAAAAAAATTACATTCTTGGGAGAAAATTAAATGCTTAACGTTTTAAGAACCGAAGGAAGAAGAAAGAAGTGTTTCCACAAGCCCGTACCAAGTGCCAAGTGCTTGGAAGTACGTTCCAAGTGTATACGTAAGCACGTGGCCGGGTGGTATTCCTCGTTAAGTTTCATTTCATTTAACCCTTTGCTTACGATGTACTATGTTGTACCATCACATGTGGTTCACATGTTGTACCAGCCTTAAGCAAAAGGTTAAAAATTCATAAAAAATCATATCTGCAATTAAATACCGTGAAATGTACAGTATATTATTGTAGATAGTATCTGAATATATCAAAATGAAATGATTGCCATATTTAAAATAAAATAAATAATTGCAAAACTGATTCAAAACATACTAAATACCATCGAGCAAAACCCAAACTGCAAACGATGAATCAACACCCTCATAAACAAATTAGAATACCATCCTTTTCCCATTCTGTCTAAACGAATGCGCGCCATTATTTACTTGTTTAATGTTTGTTTACGCGTCAGATAAAGTAAAAAAAATATTGAAAGCTTATACTCAAAGGAAACACCTGTGGGATATTATTTGAAATCATAACGGACTTTAATCACAATCTAGAGCTATTCAAAAATTGAAATAAAACATTTCAAATTGAAATCTCGCCCAGGGATTCAAGGCCCGTTGGAGTCAGGAAAGCTCTTCTCATTTATGATATCGTGGACAGTGAAGGGTGAATAAAGTTTATATGACAGCGATCCTGAACGGGTTAAGAGACAGTGATTTTCAGTTTGAAGTAAACATCAGAAATCTTGATTACTATATTTGTATAATCACGTGAATAATAAATATATTCTGCATTCTTTATCGCAGAATTCATCTAAGTCTATAAGCGACAAAATTTTTCTGCTCACAGATTAGCAGTTTTGCATAGAGCAATGAATTGCATGCCACATGTTTCAAGAAATAGTCTACATCCATAAAATAGTCAATGTTAAAATGATATTCCACTACGTTAGCGTTTTTAACTTAAGGATTTTTGCAAAATCTGTTATTTTCATTTACGTAAGCTTGGTATTTTTTCACAGGTCAAGGCGCATTTCACCAGAACTGGCAATTACTTAAACTAACGTAAATTTGAGAAATCTCCATATTTTCCATAGAGTTATAAATACTCTATGATATTTTCCCGCTTACGGAAGAAGCAAATTCTTGTAACCCTTTGCGTAACAAGCAACATGTGTTAAAGCTTTAGACAGAATGTGCACCGTCAATTTTGACGCATAAACCTTTCCTGGACGTAGAGGAAATATTGTTAAACTTACATAAGAGCGTTCTTAGTTCTTTTTTAATAGTTAATATGGCTTTATAATTAATATTTTTTAATTAATGGCAAGTCTAAGGATCAACGAAAGCACAAAAATAGCATTACAGCGTTACAGGGGTATACGTGCTATAGGGCAAAAACAGGAAAATCTGTTACCGACCATAGACCAGTCGTGAAATATTTAATAGTGGCCACTTTTGAAAACATTTAGCTACTTTTTTTCAAAAATTGAAAATTTTAAGCTACCAAAAAACTATTGATACTACAAAGCATTTCTTTTGATGTATTTCCTAAAACATGGTAAACACTACAGAGGTTTATTTTTAAAAGGAAGAAAAAATATCTTGGAGGAAAACTCTAAGTAAAATTTCAGTTTTGTATATTCCTTCCTAAATCATAGTTATATATTTTGAATATTCCTTTTTAAATCATAATCGATTGAGTTTTTGAATCAATAACACAACATAAAATTTATTTATTGCAAAAAAATGGAAATTTGTTATCGTAAAGATGAAATTATATTATTTAGATTACTTATAAATATCGTCCATAATTGTCTTTTTTTTTAAAAAAAGCAATATGAAATTAACTTTGATAACAAAATTCAATACTCCAAAATTTTGAACCAGCGTAAAATGAACGTTTCTGAAGTTATTACGGCTGTCTCGTATAACAAGCAATACGATAAGTTTAAGACTCATATTTTACAGCGCATGCATCAGATGCATTTTTGGTGAAAAAATGGGGATCTGGTGGCGATTATCAAAGAAATTTTCAATCGCTATTTTTTATTTATTTAGTGGCTCTGTGGTGGTATGCACTAGAGTATAACTCTAAAGTTTACTTCTTTGTGACATAGATAAAAGAAAAATCAAACGCCACGCTTAAACCTTAATGTAACTAAACCTTAATGTAACCATCAATTTAAACGCAAACGATCAATTTAAATTTAATGACCGATTTAGTCTAACAAAATACGCCAATTAGCTTCATAAATTACAAAAAAAAACTATATTTAAATATATTTCTGACTATATTTAAGATATTTGCTTTGAATCATCCGAATTTTTTTCCCTGCACTTACTGGTAAGAAACTATAAAATGTGACACGAACTATATACTCCCCTTTTAACTTTGGTAAGTATTATTTTGCTATTGGATAAGACCCAGTTGTATGAAAACAAACTGAAAACTCATAGCCATTTCCTTTCTATCGTTATGGCTCAATATATTTCTTTTCTTTTTATAAACTGCAATAAGTCTACTAGTTTTTTTTTTGTGCCATGACGTTCCTCTTATTTCTCTTTTCTTGTTTAAAAGTCCACCTCACGGACTGAAACGGGGGCAATTGTCGAAATAGACGATTTATGAAAGAAAGTGAAAACATTTCACACGACATAAATTTTCCTCTTTTTATTTTCAGTGAATTATTCTTTCGAAATTTCGCAAAAGTCTATTTATGCTTTTTATATCAAGGAAACTAAAGTGTTTTATTTTGATTCATAATATTTCCCAAAAATTTTGCCTTAAAATTTTTTTCATCAGGCTGAAGCCAATTTCAGGTCAACAAACTAACGGGTCACAAGAGGCTGCTGGTAACTTTGGAGATAGGGTCATATCGTAACAAGTTTGCTCATATAAATAACCACGTAAATCATAGAAAAACTGTATGTTATGATTTCACAATGATTACTAATACCATGGATACTTGAACCCAAAACTTTAAAAGATTTTGATTCAATGGAGTCATTTAACAACACTTTAAGAGTAATCCAAGCGGTTTCTTGCGATGCCACCTCCTTCGGGAGTTGACATTTTTAGTATAGTGTTTTCTATATTACTTTTAAAATAGTACTAAAAGAGAATTTCTCTGTTAGAACAAATAAATGCCTATTTTTAGTTTTCAATTTATATTTTAAGTAATTTTGATGTAAATTTAATTAAACAAGCCAATTACTTTAAAAATAATTTTCAACACAATGTAAGATCGCATGCTGATAGTTCAATAAAGGGTTTGTTCAGAACCATCTCTGACTTTTGCAAACCTATTTTCTTTATATCTGTACAAAACATCTCCTGTTTTAAACTGAGATAAGTTTCTGGTTTTCAATTAATTCAAATGTATCTCTTCACAACTGAAGCATAAAGAAATATAGCGAAAAAAATATTTTGCAGTTCTGAATTTCTAATTTACTGTTATAAGTCATAATAAGAAAAACAAAAAACGAATTATACTGCCAGGTGGCTACTAACTTAAGGTCCACATACGTGGACATCAGGTTTTAACTAAATAAAATAATATGCACATTTCAAATGTTAAATTGCTCCTAAAGTAGAAACAAGCATGTATATTGTTGTATTACGGTCTGTCTAAATACAATCATGAATAGATGTAATAATTGTTTAGAAATTCTATTTTAAAAAAGACGAAGCTTCTTTATGATGAGATGCAATACTAAATGCAATACCAATGCATTTTAGCATGAAATTTCATTTTCAGAACTATTTTAACTATGAAAATAAAACAAAATAAATAATTATTGAAAAGAATCTAACATTGACTAGAGAAAATATTTAATTATTGGGAGTAAAATTTCGAAATTATGGAGAAAAAAACACACAAAAAGTTAAAGTTATTAAATATATGTATGTGCATTAATATAAAACAATTACTTAAAATACGCATGAAAATGTTACTAAATACATATAAAATTTAATATTTACTAGTATATATTCAATTATACTATACTATAGGATATACTATACTGTAGAATAATATTATAGGATTTTACTTGACTACTACGCTGTCATAAATTGTCATTACGCACCAAGGTGCTCACACGTAGACCAGGTTATTCATGACTGTATTGTTTCTAAATATTAAGTAAATACAAATTTAAGCTTCATACAGGTCACAGAACTAAGTCAAAAGTAAAGAATTATTTTCAGATTAACTAAGTTGTGTAATATTTATAATTAGTTACATTTTTGACTAAGTTATTTTGAATAATTTTATCCATCACCGTCAAGGTATTTACTAACATTCTCCCACAATTTACGACTTACTCTTAACTTTTGGGCATCAGTGAAGTATATGATTGTCAAAAGCAGTATAATAGGAGAGATGCCGATTTCAAGAACTAGATTAGTGTAGACATTTCTAACAATCAGTATAGTTTGTTCTACCCCATTGAAACGCAAATACTACTATTTGATAAATTTATANAGTATATGATTGTCAAAAGCAGTATAATAGGAGAGATGCCGATTACAAGAGCTAGATTGGACAATGCATGTTTAATTAGTGTAGACATTTCTAACAATCAGTATAGTTTGTTCTACCCCATTGAAACGCAAATACTACTATTTGATAAATTTATAACACAGCGCATGATTGTCAAAAGTAGCATAGGAAGAGATAAAATGATTGCAATAACCATAGGTTATCCATGCATGATTAACCTGTGTCAGCATAGTTCTGGAAATATGCATCTTTTATACTATGTATCATATAAGACTACTGTGTACTAGTGTACTATATATCATATAAGACTACTGTGTACTAGTGTACTATATATCATATAAACAGGTGTAACGTATGATGTAGCAGAAGTCGAATTCTTGGCCACAGATGGCGCCACTGAAAAACAAGAATCGCACACTCTGCCTTAAATTTGCTCGGTTTCACCAAGCAGGCTTGCCCGTGTGGTAAGTGGCATTAGAATCAACCAACCAACCAATATAAGATACCTTTCTTGGAATGAGTTCTGCTACAAAGTACCCTATTTTTTGTTGAAGGGTGAATAATTTATCATGCAAAAACAGACACCGAGAGAGACATAATTATACACACCCACTACTGAAACAAATGTTGCTCCCGTTGCCATTTCACCATCCATACTGCGAACGACGCAACTGTATTCACCTTCATCAGCTGCTCTTTGGACACTCTGAATGGTCAGCGTCCCGCCGTGGGACACCTTTTGTCGGTGGTTCAATGGTAAGAGGATGCCACCTGAAACATGAACCAAAGATAAATAAAATGTTTTCGGAATAAACAGATGATCAGCGTCCCACTATAAGACACCTTTTGTCAGTGGTTTAATGATAAGAAGATTCCAGCTGAAAAGGTGCTACAATAATAAATAAAATGAATTTAAAATAAACAGATGCTAATCGTCCAATCATGGGGCACCTTTTATGGATGGTTTGATGGTAAGAGAATCGAATCCATTTGCTCACCGAAGAGAACGCATTAAAAAAAATTATTATGTTCGTTAAGTTTAGATAGATAATACACTGGTTATCATAAATTAAGGAAAATTCACAAAAATCGCGATAACTCAAGAAATTACACATGGAATTTTATGAAACTTACCCACAATATACAANTTTTGCAGTTATAACTAAGATTCATTACTATATTAAATTTTTATTTACCTTTTAATTTCGATAGTTTACATTGTCAAAAATTATTTTTACGCAAATGATTTTCAGAGGTAAGAAATTAAAATATCATTGCAGTTGTCTTTGCATTCTTCACTGTTCATTCGATATTTCAGACTCAAAGAAGTGATTTTTAAGGGATAATCAATCTACGGGTGGTTAAAAAAATCATGTTTATCCCTTAAACTGATTTTCTTCCGAAGAAAATAAACATAAAAAAAAACATGAAAATAAACATGAAAAGAAAAAGGGGAAGAAAGAAGATTGTTAGGGAAAGTAGGTATCAGTAGACTAAAAAAGCAGCCGAGAAGAGAAATTGAAAGTTTCAGTTGTAGCCAAAAAAGTGTATCTTATTTTTCAAAAAAACCATTTGCTTAAAAGGTTTTGGAGGAATTTTAGGAACATAATGGCTTTATAAAGGACAACAAAGTTTCTTTGTTCGCCTAATAAGAAATGATGCATCAAAAAAAGTTTCGGAAATAGTAACAAAGCCTCCTTTTTTATTCTTCGATTTCAATCACACGAAACTTAACATTTCAGTCTTTTTACATTTATTTCCAAAGGTGTTTGTTTCTTTGGTTCTCTTTAATTAAAAATGCTATTCTTTTACGCATTCATACATAATTTTGTAAACCAAGTCAAGGGAAATAAGACATCTTCAAAAAGATATATTTTAACCTATAGCCTGTACTTTTCATGAACCAGAAAAGAGATTGTGCAACTTGGAGGTGTTAGAAACTAAGGCTAAAATTTATTTTTATTATTTTTTAACTGACCATTTTTAGGTAAAAATTGGGCTTTTTTGCATATAGACTTAACACAGTAAAACAATTTCTATAGCCTAAAACAAAAACTCCCTCAAGGATTTTATTTAGACTGCTATCAACTATGTTTTGAACTATTGCCTTAAAATCAAGTGCATACACTACTGAGTTAGGGATCAATGTAGTTAAAAGAGCAAAGTCTTTGCGAAAAAACATGCATAAAAAATAAAAATTATAATTTTTTCTCTTAGTCTGTAGTTCAAAACATGCGAGCTATAACCATTAACATTCATGAAAAACTGTAGTCAATTACTTTAAAAACTGCATGAGATATCGTGTTTAAGGTGGAGTAAAGAGTGAAAAAATCTGATTCTGAGACAAGCGCATTTATAGTCTTAAAACCATTAGTCTATCCAGTGTAATCACCTTGCAAAAAAACTGCTATAACGTTCCAAATGATTGAAGTACATACAAAAGTAAAGTATTTTTGGAAAGCTAAGAGAACATGAATTCAAAATTTATAATATACTGAATTTCGAAAATTTTTGCCCTGAATCATGTTTTTGCTCTAGATACCTTAATTTTGCTTCCTGTCCAAAAGAGACAATGATAGTTCTGTTTAAGTTCTCTTGTTGACTTAGATATGTTGTCAAAAAGAAAACGGAGGCTATTTTCGAAAAGAAAAAAAAATGAAAGTTTGCACAACACGTTCATATTACCTTTGTAGATAGAGAAACTCTTTTCTCTATATGTGCCTCAGTGAATTTTGAGCATTATTCTTGACTATAACAGATTGTACACTGAACACATGCTGACATTAAACACACTTTAAAAATTGTGGAGTGATACCTCTCTGAATTTAGCGCAGAAGAACTTCAAAAATTATGGGACCGAATCCTTAATTTCAAATCTATCGTTCATAAGCATTTGAAGTATGTATTTAAATCAATAATGAAGAATGCTTAGCTCAAACTCACGCGTGCCTTAATATTTTATTAGTAAAATAAGTGACGTAAATATGAATTGCATACTTCAATTAATGATCTTTATTCTATTTATGCTTTCAATATGATATTAAAAGGGTTAAGAATGAGGGTTAGAATTTAAAATTCGATAGCAGCATTTTAGGAAAGTTTCAAAAATTTCACTTTATTGATTTTATGATGACCAGAGTATTTTTAAGAGTAGCAATAAAATAAATACCAATAAAATAACTAACAATAAAATAAATAACAATAAAATAACTAACAATAAAATAAATAACAATAAAATAAATAACAATAAAATAAAGAACAAAATATAAATAGCAATAAAATAAATAACAATAAAATAAATAACAATAAAATAAATAACAATATTAAAAATAGTGTCAGGGTCACGTGATGTAATAACACGCATTTTCTGATGTTGCGAGCTAAAAGCTTGATATTATAGATATGATCATTNAAATAAAATTAAATTAAATTAAATAACAATAAAATAAATAATAAAATAAATAACAATATTAAAAATGGATTAGATATTAAAAAGGAAAAGGATAAATATTATTTCCAGAAAAGGAAATGATAAATATTATTTTCAGGCGTGGATTATTTCCTCTTAACTCTGTGTATATTTTTTTTTGCAGAAAGCATTGCACCTATGATTATCATATCCAATGTATAGTACTTCAGTAGAATGCTTAATACATGGAATTAATTTATAGCCAATTCATTATTTGTTACACAAAGTTACATAATAAGGGAAATATAATCCAAACTGGATATTTCGTCTTTATACAGATATTCTGTATTTATACCACTACTCCACTAGTTCTGTATTTATACACTTAGTTTTAAACTTTTGTAACTTTTTTGCTTATTTTAACAATAGCAACTGCCACTTAAAGCTGGCTGATATGTTAGAGCCACTACATCTGCTTACAACAGAAACATTACTGCCATTCTATTTTAGTCGCTTGTCTTCTGTAAGTCAATATACTATTTCCCATTCAGCATTTATCTGAGTGATTAAAAAGGTACTCGCAATATGTCATAATTTTTATTTTCACTTATTAGATCTTTAATCGAATAATAAATTTTTTTCAAAGCAATTAGGAAGTCCCGCCCAGTTTCATAATTGATTTTATGCAACTAGTCACTTGGTCGTGTCTAATCACGTTTTTGTGATGCTTTTGTGATGTGTCATGCTAACGTTTCCGCTATAAGGCATGGGCTTGTCATCACCTGAATCAATTATCGGATCAGGTTTAATTTTATACCTTCAAGCGACGTCATGTGTATGTGTCGAACCTCATTGGCTGACCAATGCGCAACGTTGCTTGCAGGTATCTAATTGCTTCGAATTGTTTTTTTCTTCTTCTTTTTTTAAAATTCGATATTTTATTTAAAAAAAATTAAGACTATTTTTATTCATAAAAGATATGATTATATTTGCATGTAAGAATATTTTGTTAATCGTAATGAAATAGACAATTACCTAAATTTAAAAAAAAATCAACTATGCATATCTAGAAGTCATTAAGAAGCAAATAAATGAGAAATATTTTTTCTTGTTAACAATAATAATAAATTTAGATCATATAGCAACTTAAATGGGAAACGGTTTTCTTTCTTGAGTCTTTGGTATTGTCAAAACTTTCGATATTAATATTAAGATTTACATCAAGCAACATATAATCTCTTTTCTTTTTTTTTTGCTTATTTTTGCTACTTTAGACATTAAGTCATATTCGAGCTACAAAATAAACATCTTGCGATAGATAAATTTTTTCAGAACAATAGATAAATAGTCATTAATTAAAGGGGGAAAAACTAAACAAAAAAACTCAAAAAAGCACTTAAAATTGCTGTAATTTTTGAACAAACTGGAATTTCGTAAAAAAACTCTCGTTAAGGTTTTAAAAAGTTAACCTTAGTTTAATTTCAATTGTTTTGTTGCATTTCTGTGGATTGCATGGTATTTCCTCTACCACAAATTTATGAGTTAATAATTATGGAATTAATTATAAATTTTAGTTATTTTAAGATTGTTACACATTTTTCTACACATCTTCGCAATTTCATACTTCTAAATCGTACAAAAGCAGCAAAACAAAATAAAAACAACTAGCATAAAGTCGACAACTCAAAATAGTAGAGGTGCTTAAGATTTTTTAATATGGAGAGGAAAAGATAGGAAACCAGAAAAAATACATTTAGTTTTCTAATATAAGCTACACATTTTTTATTATGCATCAGGTTAATGTCTGCTGTGCATATAAAAACATACTCTGTCTTAACAAAAAACTTCCTCTGTGAGAAATATCTACACGGGAAGATTCTGCGATGGTTAGGAGAAATAGTGTTAAATAATCCAATATCTGGGGAGAAATGTTAACTTTTTTTTTATTAATATTCTAATTATATTATGTGTTTGGCAAATGTTTTCTAAGTTCTTTTAAAGAAAACAAAATACTAAGCTGAATGTTCTTATAATATGGAACCACAGTAACATTAAATTTTTAGTAGCACGTAACCAACATTTATTTACTTACTTTTGAACCATCTGACGCCTTTTATCGGGTAACCACCATACGGGCATCGGACGATCAGATCTTCACCCGAAATAGCAGTCACATTCGACATGGGTCTTATGAATGTCGGTCCGTAGACATTAAGTCTCGCTGCGTGGAAGGTGCTCCCAACGTCATTGCTGACTTGGCATTTGTATTCACCGCCATCGTCCACTCTTGCGTCACTTATGTTAAGAAAACTCACCACATTAGCGTGTTCGGTGATATAATCGCCCAGGGTAATCCTTCCAGTTCTGGACACAACCCCACCGTCCAAGTACCACGTGATTCTAGGTGGAGGGTTACCAGTTGATGTGCATTTCAAAGAGACAAGTGAACCAGGATGTGCAGTTTGTTCCGGAAAAACTGATATTAGACTTGGTGGGACATCTGCAACAGAGTTAACAGAGTTTTTCTGTAGTTTGAGTTCAGTCGTATGACATATTGAAATCTACACAAAATTAGAAACAAAATAAATTGTGTTCCGACGTCAATTGAGAATTAGTTTAAATAATTGTTTTAAATCGTCTGACAACTCTTGTAAATATAATAACTGCAACTCTGACTGGTTGCTAGGCAACCAAACGATTTTTTCTTGTTATTAAGGTTTTTTTGCTTATCGTCTGTGTATGTCAGTGGAAATAAAAGAAAAAGATCGCTGTAATAGCTAACAGATTGTTCGACAATTGCTGAAAAATTGTTCGACATGGAATTACCTGTTATAATTTTTAAAAAAATCAGTTTGATGAAGTATGAAATACAATTGAAAAAATAGCTAGCTACAATGAATTACACGATACAATTGAAAAGGATACTAATATAATTAATAAATTGCATACTATAATTAAAAAATCAAAATCATTAAAAAATCAATAAAATGGATAACGTGATACACGGGAAAAAGAGAGATGCATGAAGTTGCGCGACACAATGATTTGAAACTGCACATAGATTTTTCAATGAAAGGATATATGAAAAAATTTACATTTAATATTATCATACCTGAGATTTTCAATTCGGCCGTCCCCTGCGCACCATCGTTTTCATTGTAGACGAAGCACTGATACATCCCTCTGTCTTCACGTCTCAAGGCAGTGATGTGCAGCACGTCTCTCGTCACTAGCTGGATTCGATTCGAAGGAACGATCGGCCTCTGGTCTTTCTTCCAAGATATTGTGTGCACGGGATAGCCACTGACGTTGCACGTAAACGTTCCTTCCTGTCCTGTGTTGAGGGTCTGATGGGGTGGTAAAAGCGAAGCCTGCAATGACGCTGCAATAGAAAAAAACGAAACTTTTGTAAGCAATTTAAAATTATACAATAATATGAAAAATGTAATATCATTTTGTCAAAATAATCAAATTTTAAAAGTTTAAATTCAATCAAAATTTATGTTTCAATTATAAATTTTAGGTTAGAGGGAATAAAAAGAGTTGAATACTTTATAAAGAGCTCTAATGTCTGTAAGCATTATCTGTTAAAACTTTTTCATCGGTATGGATTTCACTTAGTCATTTTAAAAGAAATCTGTTTTCTGCACTTTTTAGATATCCGATAATGATATTAAAAACAAGGAGGGATCGAAATCTCAATGACGTTTCCACATGAATCTGTCTCTTCCTACATTAATATTTTTTATTGGACTCTAATGTAACATGTGACATGCGTTAATACATCACGTTGCAAAACACATTAAATGCAAAACACGATAAGCGTCCGTGTAATAGAGCTTGGATTAAAACCTACAACTAAACAAAGTTATTATATATGTCCAAAACTTTCACAAAGCAATCAAACGCAAGTCGTATAATGCTTGTCAACTTTTCTTTACATATTTGAAAATTTATACCATTTAAAACATATGTACACATAAAATATGAGCTGATGCATTCCTAAAATATTTTGATTAATGAATCAGATAGATGGCAAAGAAAAAGAGAATAAAATACTAATCTATATACATATTTCTCTTACACGGTGACAAAAAAAAGCCTCATTACAACTCCCCGAATGGCAAAGCTAGAAAATCGACCAATGATTGCCGCTAAAAATGTCACGTGCCATATCTAGCATAGGTGGCTCAACATATAACGCTTTTAAAAACAGAAACTGAAATAACCAGAGAGATCATTCTATCAGCTGCGGCAATCTCATACTATCAAGCTAGGCAGAAGTGAGTAGTCTTTGTCGATAGATCTCTATTTTAGTATTTTGTCGAAAGCGCTTTTTTTCACTAATTTATATATTACGAATTTATTTGACGATTTTTGATTTATATCGCGAATTTATTTGTTTTATTATTGCTATTAGTTATTCATTGAAAATTGAGTCTCAGTCGTGCCGTTACGCTTTAAGATTTTATACTATAGCACATTTCTAATAGGTTTAACAAATTACATGTTATTTATTTGAATTCAAATTTATTTTAATGACTTAATATTTATTAAAAAGATATAATTTTTAAAAAAAAATTGTTATATGGATTTGAATGATTGTTTTGAATTCTTAGAATTTTGTGCATTTGCAATGTAACTTAGTAGCGAGCAAAGCGAGCTTGGTTTGCGAAGCAAACCATATAAGATTGCGTAGCAATTTTCAGGGGTCGGCGAGCGTTAGCGAGCAGGGGGCACAGCCCACTAGTTAAAAGGAATTTTTTCAATTTGTAACAAATTGTATATAACATTTGTGAAAAAAATGAGAAATATTGAATTCATTCCAATCAAGAGCAAAAATTGTGGGAGTGCATTGTAAAATGTTTATTACAATTAGAGCTTCATAAATAGACGAAATGTTGCATTTATAATTCACAAAATATTGAGAAACTATTCAGTGACCCTTCATAATGTATGGAGAAAAAAGAACAAAAGACGGTCCAACATAAATCCGAAATAAAATATCTTTACTGGAATTAAACCATCAAAAATGATAGAAATAAAATACTTATATTTGATATGAGAAATACACGTCATTTTTATGCCAGTATGGAAACACGCGTTATTTATACCTTAATAAGAGGAGCATATACTTCTCTTTTCTTCTTTTTGCGTCTTTTTCGAGGGTGCATACTTGTTATATTCCTTCACGTAGTCAATAAAAAGAAGAGTTATAGCATAATAAATTTTGGCGGATGCATTTTATGCTGGAATCCGCTGTTCGTGTAAAAAAAGGGAAAAAATGAACATTCGCAAATGCATGTTCATTTTTTAAAGGGCCTTTTTACATGTGTTTATCAGAGTGCGTTTTTATGTCGAATATAAATATTTTTTTAAGATCCAAATATAGCTTTGTCATATTTTATACATTAACGTTTTTCTTACTGTTCGCGAATTAAAAAGGTCATATTATTAATTACTAAACAAACATTTCACTTGTTTTTTTATGTCTGCTTGTTTTAAATACACGATATTGTGGTGTTGCACTATATTACTAAATCGTTAAGCACACTATTTGGTTTAAAGGGTCACAGAACCTTTGCAATGATTTTTTAAAATAAAGGCATAATCATTCATTTTGTGGGTGCTTTACATGCACATTTAACTCATAATCAATAATTTATCTTCAAAAAATAATCAAACTGTTTAATTTTTTTTAAATTTAGAAAAAAAATTGAAAAATTTCAATCTTTTTAAATCCCAAAGGCTTTTTTAATTTAACATATTTTTAAAAAAATGTTTTTTTTCTTAGTGCTTACAATATTTAACCTCACAATTTTGTGCATTTATTTGCTGAAATAACAATTAGAATATTTTTTATTGATTATTCTGTAAAAAAGTTGCAGAAAAAGGTTAAAAATTCCTGTTAGATATATGTAACATGCAGTAAAAAATGTAATATCTCATAAAATGCTTATTCCATGCACAGGTTAAAAAAATGTATTATATTTAAGACAAAAAGAGTACTTCAAAATTTTTATCTTAAATAGAAAAAATTCCTTAGGAATTTAATTAAGATTAAAACCCAAAATTATCATCGATGAGAAAAAGCACTTTAAAGCCTGTCTGCTGTGCAAGTTTCTGTATTAGGGAAATGTAAAAGCATTCATAACTTTTTTAAAACTGTAGATAGAGATATGATTTTTTTCAGTGCATTTGAAATAATTTTAAGTTTTATTATAAGCAATAAATTTTTTACCGATGTTTTGGTCATTTTTTGGGTACTGTGACCCCTAAGTGCACCACATTGTCAAAAGTTTCCTTTAGAGTAATGTCTTAAACATCATTTTACTTGTTTTGTATGGCTCTTTAATGTAACTACAGTATATATTGCTTTGTAGCACTGTATTATTAAGTACACAAACAATAATAATTAAGTAAACAAATAATATATTGTTTAAATACATACAATGATTAAATCCCTTGTATTATCTATTTTTGTCAAAGAATTATTTTAGAGTCATATCTTAAACAAAAATTTACTTGTTTTAAGTACACTATTGTCGAGAAACTCCGAGGGACTATTTGACTTTAAAATTTAACCGTAACTGCGGTTACAGCAGAAGTTGAATGATTACCTCCGAGTTATGACGCTGAAATGAGCTGTTCCTTTTCAAAATATTAATGTGTCGTCTAATCTTGTTTGTTACGATCTTTGTTTGAATATTAAATGTTTCCAAAAAATGGAAAGGAGTTAATTCCTGCAATGTCAGACGTTGTTTATTTTTACTTATGACATCTTTATTTTCAAGAGTAGCAATCTTTAGAACCGAAAGAAAAACGTTCTGTCTTCCCTCGGATAAATAGTATTTTGAAGAATCGCCACAGAAAATAGAGGTAAGGTAATTTTACTTTTACCTTTAATTACGAAGTGAAATAAATAGTATATTGAATTGCTAATTTTTATTCCACAACTATATTGCATTGTTGTAGTAAGCTGTTATGTGCTTTAAGACATTTGTTTTAAATACACTGCATCGTCTGCGTTTTTCGAAATACTTCTTGGAGAAAAATGTCATAAATTCTGTATTTCCAGCTAATTCACTTCTTATTTTTTTTGTAAGAACGATAAATTATGCACTTTTAACTGGCCGATAATCCACCTGGCACCCATCAAGCAAGATTTTTGAGAAAAACCTCAATTTGTACTTATTGTGACTCTCAACAAGATATAATACACTTGATTTGCCACTGCCAAAAATTTCATGCACAGCGTGGCACGGAATTCCAGGACAAAACAGAACATCAACTATTCTCAAATTTGACCTGCAGAAGAATTATTAAAGAAATCATCAAAACTACACTTGAGGACATGTTAAATCCACCAGATTCAATTAACAATGTAATCTACAGCTATCATATAGTTATATATATAGTTTCTATAGTTCTAGCTATCATATAGTTATGTATATATAACGTATATATATATAGTTTCTGAACTGTTTAGAATAGAAAATAGTCAACATTTATTATATATGAAAACTTTAAGCAAAAACTAAAATTAATATTACAAAGCTCAAACTTTTGACCATTCTCCTGCTTAGCTATTGTAACCGAATTTTCGAGACAGTGGCTCCCTCCCCTTATTTTAAAGGTTAAAAGTCCGAATATTTAGCGAAAAACGATATGCTAATGCAGTGAAAGTACGTTATTGTCTTTGATTTTGTAACATAATTTTTGTCTGTACTAACTATTTAGCATATTAAAGGTTAAGCTCTCGGACACTTAAAGTGAGTCTTAAAACGTGAAAATCTGGTCATAAAATTTTTTTTCAAACTTTAGAGATAATTAAAAAAAACCAACTCAATTTTGAATTTTTGAGGGTTTAATGCTAATCTTATATATGCTAATTAAAGAAGTGCAGATTTCAAGTAACGATATCGCACATAAAAACCTATTTCGTCTGAAGAAACATATATTTGGATTCGATAAATTTTGATTACTGACTCTTAAAACTTAGGCAGTAGCTGCAATCTCGAAAAATATGGTCCCAATAATTAATACCAAGATTCAGACCCCTTAATTTTGGACCCTTTATTGTTAATTTTTCTTTTTGTGTATTTAGCTATGTTACAGAAATTTTTAAAGCAGTTTGAAAAAATTTTGAGGCATAATTGTAAAATCCCTTTAGCCAAAAATAATTTCTTGTAAGAAATCAATTTTAATTTTTTAATCATTTTTATTATTTCATTTAGTAAAAGCAAGATTCCCTCAACAGCCAGTTGTGGGCCAGTTTGGTTAATGACTCCCCAATTTTGTGCCCAATGGAATGCTTGTGACTCTGCGATCAACATTGCGCCACGCTGCCATTTACTTCCTAGAAAGGCTGGCACTCCTCGATCTCTTTGAGTCGCCACTGACAGAATAATAACGCCAACTACTTCGCAATGGCAGAATAATGCCTCGATCACTACGGCTCATTTGCTTTAATAAGGGTTGAAAAAACTATTCAGTTGTCTACAGATTTTTATACTATTTTGGACTATTTAATTTTAAATGAGAAAAGATTAAAATTTGAGCGAAATCGGTTGAATACATTCTTTCCTTTCAACATTCTCCTTTCGGTTATCCCCATTGTCTCCTTATCAATCCATAGATGGACCTCTCAATATAGCAACTAGAGTTATATAGTGCAGTATAGATCATCCTGTAAGTATGAGACTAGCTCAAAAAATTGCCACAACGCGGGAGATACAGGAGGAGGATCCAGTAAGTATTGGCGTTGGGTTTATCATGTATTTAGACCAAGAGTTCCAGTCTACACCAGGTTTGGACCAAGAGTCCTATGAAAACACCCCAGACAATAATCCCAACTCCACCGATATGCATGGATGACCATATACGTATTGTTAGATAATGTTTGACTTGTATGAAATAACAATTTAGCAGCAGCTTTTCTTTTCATTCAGTATTTCACTCTCAAAAATCAAATAATTAAATAACAATCATTTAAACTTTTGTTTGGCTCAGTGGTTTAAGAACCAAAAAAATACAGATTCTTGTAAACAAAACATTTAATGCAACACAAATAAAAATTTAAGCATGCACATAATTAATTTTCCGTTTTACTTTGTATGGTATCACTTTTTACTTTTTACAGAACATGACATTTGTTTTTACTTCACTTTACACAACTAAAACCGCTGCCACTCAAATACTTTATAAGTTTAGTAAAAGCATTAATAATTACTTTTACAACACTTCCAACAACTGAAATATGTTGGGGAGGAGAGGGATAAGGGAGAGGAGCAACTCCATTCTTCGTAGCTAATAAATTAAAATAGTTAAAAAGTCTTTAACTAAAACATTGTAAATTAAAACATTATGCATCAAAATTTCATACTTCATTTTATATGCAAGCCGTGTTGTCTCTTTTTGTGAGGGATTTTTGATCTCATTTAAAATTGCAAATTCGTTAATTTGGGTCAATAAGCATAAGCTGGATGATTCATTTTAGCGGTTTAAAACTTGGAGAGGATTGAGAATTCAAAGGCAACTCAGATACTTTTTAGGATTTTTCAACGATGTGGCAGATTATTGCAAATGCTTCAGCTACTGAAGGACCTACGAGTAAGAATAATCCAATTTAACTTTCCAGAATCATTAAATGAATTGTCGCTGAATTTATGAGCCAAACTATTCGGGCGCATCATTAGAATTGCATATCAATCCATGAATGAAAATATCATATTAGACAGCCAGTCGCACTTCCTTATTATAAACTTCCTGTAGAAAGCCTTTGAAATGGCTCCTTTGTTCATCAAACTATCTTAATATTTGTATTTTCTAATAGTGTTTAGAATTACTTCTGAACAATCTCAAAAACAGCTGTTTTATTGTAATTTACTGGTTTGAAACTAAATTAGAGCTCTCTACATGTTTGTCAAATCGATAAAACACGATAAAAAGCTTTTCTGAGTCTATTTGAGTGCAATTTTTGACAATAATTATTGCTAAATGTAAAATTTAGAATTAAATAATGATAATTTAGGAAAATTAAAGTACCAAATGCGCACGAAGAGCTACTTCATAAAAGAAATCCTCCCTAGAGGCATAAGATTACATTTTCAGTCATGGTTTAATATGTAATTCTTAATCATATTGATGTGGCCCTTATAGTTTGGTCCGTAAATTAAGGAATAATCTGTTTAGTATTTCTGGAATGCAAAATTAGATTATTCTTACCTGCATACACAGTAGCATAAACCTCTAAATTAAAAAATTATAAAATTTATCTGCAGAATATGTGCTATTATATTTGTATTCAAATATAATAGTATATATAATATAATAAATATATAATAAATAGAGTACATATGTAAAATAATACGCAATATATATAATTTAATTTTTAATTTCAGTGTATCTGAATACAAAAAATGGTGGCAAATGGTGGTTTTTCACTACACTTCTTGGTAAAACTGTCAGTGAATAACCACTCAGGTGTACCGTGATTTTTGGCAGATACACGGAAATATTTTACAGTGAAATGAGGAAATTGCTTCAATACTAAATGAAATATTTGGAGTTAATTAATTGAAAATTTATTAAGTGAAAAGGGAAAAATTCAGTTGCTGTTTAAATTGAAATAAAAGTAAATTTGACTTCTATTACGATTATTTTTCTGAATTATCAACACTAAAAACAAAATAAAGTAAAAATGAACAAAACACCGAGTACCTTCAGAAAAGTTTCTTAGTGAATCAAGTTTAAAAAATTCTAATACTTGAGTAATTAAAAGTGCTGGCTGGCAATTTGCATTTAGAACGACAAACTGAAATAGAACTCAAGTAAAAATTGCAAAATTTTTCGCATTTCTTGGACTTCAAAGTGTAGCTGAAGTTGTGTTTCACTTTTACCAATTTTCGTAAAAAAAATCCAATGTAGTGCATTCACGCAATCACTGCGTACTTTTAATTTTTTTTTTTTTAAAAAAGAGATCGTTATTTTTAGTTTAACTTAATTCTGTCTGCATTTGTTTTTTTGGTTTGGTTTATTTTGACTGCAATGCCGAAATAATTCTGCTTTTCCGCCTGGAGTGATAAATATTTCTTTTTGGCTCGGAGATGTAGGCATACTATTTGAACTTTATAAATTTAAAATATGAGGAAGCCTATCCTTTTTGTGAACAATAAAACAATTTAATGAGATATTAGACAATGTTTTTAAGCTAAGATATGTAAAATAACGAAAAAATATTTTAACTTTCTTAGCGTTACAATATGAAGTAACTTATTTCAAGTCAGTATGTTGCTTGTTCTTAATGTTATAGTTCACCCGTCTTTCGGTTCGGAATCTATTTTAACAGAATTAAGACCCCTTGCTTAAAAAATACAAATAATTCTTTATTGTTTGTTTTTATCACGAAAATTTGATAGTTCTCACTTATAACTCTGAGAATGGTCAAAAATCATTTGTAAAAGAAGTATCTAATAACTCGATATTTCTTTTTTACGTTAGAAAAGGCAGCGGAATTGACATAACTGTTGTGAGTTAGCAATAGTCATTTATGATTTTTAAGTGAAGTTTTGGATAATGCTTTCTCTGTTTGGTATTGAAAATGGTGCAAAATCTCAATATGAAGAAGAGTTACAGTTTTGTAAGGAATGAAAAGCGAAAAATTTAATTAGTTAAAAAGTGACTTCAACGCTGGTGCATAAAAAGTGAAAAATTGAGATCTATTCAGAATTGTTTTTTTCTTTGGGTAAAAAATACTCTCAAATTTAGAATTTTTTTTAATAAAAAAAATAAAGCTTTTCGCTTGTCTTAAAGCTCAGATAATATTGTCGACCTGATGGTATAGATTGCTTTAAATGATAATTTGCTTTGGGGATAAAGCCTTTAAGCCTTGCGGTTTCAGGTTTCTTTCAGAAAAAGTGGTTTAAGAGTCACCATTGGCCTGCGTTTAAATAATTAATCGAGAGAAGCCTCATTTAAACTTAGATTCTTTATGAAAATTGTTTCTATGAATAGTTATGATTTTTTTAGCACACGAATAATTTTGAGTAACACATAATTTTTTTATTTTTTATAATCATCTCCTCGAGGAAGGTAGAATGAGTCCTAAAATGGGAAGACCCGATTATAAGATCAAAACTTATTTAGGGTGATCATTTTTTTTGGCGTACTGTACATGTAAAACAGATAATATTAATGATTCTAAGAATTTCAGTTTTATTTTTAGGTAATATTTAAAAGGGAATAAAGGAAAAAGAAGGAGCTAAATGAAAAAGAGTACCTGTAACAATGAGGGCGCTCTCGAACCGCCTCTCTCCTATGCTGTTACGAACAATGCACTGGTATTTGCCCGCGTCCGTTCGCAGTACTTTCCTGAAGTTGAGTGTACCCTGCACTAGCCACACTCTACCGTCTTCTTTGACATTACTCAAAACACCATTCACGTCCTTCATCCATCTGAAAGAAAACAACACTACTATGGAATCGCTGATATTTGGGAAACATTGGATAGAACTTAGAACAATGTACAGTGCATCCCAAAGTAGTAGTTCTCAATGTACGAGACACAATTCAATATTTTTAAATAGCTATTTCATATGCATTTAAATTCATGCTATTTTTCAGATTCTATTTTGGTGATTCTATAAAAGACGGGTAATAAATTAAGATGATGCTATATCTCGAGGAGAATTCTTCAAAGCAAATTCTCTTTCCCTTCCATAGGTATTTTAAGATTTAAAGTTTTTAAAAAAAGCTATTGCAGGTAAAATACAATGCTGATTTTCTTAAAAATATGCTCTAGGAAAAAAAGGAACAGAAAAAAGGACACGAAAATGATTCCAAGAGAAAAAACCAACAAAAATGAGCCATCCCCTAAAAAAAAAAGCTTTTGAAAACAGCACCAGAAGAAAAACATCGCTTTAACAAATGTATGAATTTATGTCCTATTTAATTTGCATCATTGATCGAATTATTCCAAATTTAAAAGTAATTATATGTTCATTCCAGTGAAATTTGATATCTTTTTTGAAAATATTAAATAAAGTAGAAGGATTCATTTAGAGTTCATGGAAGGAATTTTACTCTCTTCATACTATTTGACAAAACTTTTAGGACTCTTTTGCAGCTCCATATTTTTTCTGAATTCATATAATTACACTAATTGCGTTGAGACAATGCTTAATAAATGATTTTTTTTTAAAAAAATCGTTTTATAATGAATAGTTCATATAAATAAGCAAAGTGTTTCATATTATGTTTTAATTATATTTATACAGGGTTAATAATAGTAATTATACTGGTTGTTATTGTTATTCATTGAAAAATCAGTATTAGTTGTGATGTTATGCTTTTTAAAAGCATAATTAATGTTATTTTTTTGCTAATTCTTCTATTGCATGTCATTTATTTCAATTTAACTAATATCTAATAATTAGGTCATTTAACATCTATACACTTATTGCTTAAAGTTCTGAAATTTCTGATGTTGCTTTTAACAAAGTTATGAATCCTTAATAGTAATTGTTTCTTAAAAGCATACTTATTGTTTTGTTTCTGTTAGTTCTTCATTTGTTTCAACTTATTTTTTAATTTCAATTTACTAAAAATTTAAATTTTTGAAAGAGGAATTAGTTTTAAAAATTTTAGCAATTGATAATTAATTGTATGCTAGAAAACATATGAATTGAGTTTAACTTGTTCGAGAGAGAAGTGAGCATGGTTTGCAAGGCAAACAATATAAGTTTGCATTGCAATTTATTATGGACGAACAGGAGCAAACCCCACTAGTTTCAAATATTTTTCAAATAGAGTCATTACTCAGGGTTATTCAAAGTAATGTGCATTCAAAGGTATACGACCTTTAAATATGGCCTATACATGAGATACTGATACTCACTATATTTCTGTAGTATATACTTCACGTGTCAATGGAATCCACTGTGATAGAATTTATCCGCACCTTTCTCTACAGAGAGCTACCACATCAATGGATATTTCGCTACAATTATGGCCCACAAGGACACCAGATCTCACACTGCGTGATTTCTGTGAGGTTATGTGAAAGACGAACTTCATGTACTCCCAAAAACAACAATACTGCAAGCGATATAAGAAAGAATAACTACTTCTGTGAGAGACACTGATACATGAACGGAGCTTGTTTCACATCTCGACGAGTGCTAGCTAACCTAGGCCAGGCACATTGCATGTTTGTAGAACGTACTAGAAATTTGGGGAGTGTATATATATTTCCATAATTTCTTTGTAAGTCACATACTTGTAAATAAACTATCCTGTGTAATCGGATAAATCATTTATGCTAACCCTGTATTGAGATGTTCGAGCTGACATCACTTCACTTCACTGGAAATCCATATAAGATTAATCACTTACAGATAGCAACTAATAGTGATATGTTACTATTTAGATTGGAATATGAATCGTCTAATAGGAATGGTGCAAACGACTATTGATTGATTTATTCCACTCAAGTGATATAGTTCAGCCTCTTGTTTGGGCATCTCTATTTATGAGAGTTGAGAATCATAACAAGCCAGCTCTGTATTACTAACGCAAAAATTTATTAAAAGCATTTACAGTAAACATAGTATTATTATACGTGCACAACTAGATATTTTATATATTTGCAATATGTAGCTAATTATGGCCGAATAAATTACTAATCACAAGTCGTTGCGCAACAAATTGCTTTCGAATTTTGCTCTAGGCAATTTGTATTTTTTTAAAATTCAAACTAATCTGGTATTAAGCTCAATCTTAAGTTAATCGAATTTGTTATATTTTCTTATATCAAGAAAGTTTGGAGCTTCAAAAACAACTTATTCTTAATTACAAATAAATATTAGAGAAGATAATTGGAAGAAAATGAAATTAAAATTAAGAATCACTCCATTTCATCAAAAAACTTTCTTGTATTATTTTAAAGTTATTATCTTTTTTCAATGTTCATGAATTTTTCGTAACTCATTACCGGTACATTATTTATTAACAAATTAATTTTCTGTATTATCAAAAGCATTCGTTGAAAACATCCAAAAAGCAATTATTTTTTTGCTAACAAAGGGTTTCTAACTTATTTATCTTGGAAATTTTTCTTCGCTTTTTTCCCACGTTGCTTCAATTTTCTTCGAAGATTTGAGCTTGCATTTTACTTAATGGATAAAGTTCGCAAATTGATATGCTTAATGCTCTGTAAATTGATTAGAAAAGATATGAGTAACGAGAAGATCTGTTGCCATTCGATTTGAATTAGCAACAAAACATAGGGACAGAAAAACACCAACTCAGTATGACGATTTATATAAGTCCGTTAAAAAGACTAGCAGTACAATGTTTAACAAGACTTTAAAAGTTAAACTTTTTGAATATTCAGTAAAATGATATAATTGTTCTGTAATTCATTATTAAAAACCTATGCATGTTGTATGAAAATAAAAACAAATTATTTTATTTTAAGTCTTTTTTGTTGTCATCACATTGTTGTCATCCCCGAAGTTGCTAGCCCGATTAATTTTTAGTTATAATTTTTTATTTTAAACGTATGCAACTTATCTTATTTCAATGAAGAAAAACATCACTTCATTCCTTTTTAAAAGAAATAAGTATTTATTTGTGATTGTGTGGGAAGTACGAAAAAAAAGAGAAAAAGTTATATACTAAATGACTTTCGATTAAAATTGATAGAATTTGCTTGAAAAAATTACTTGTTTCTCACAAAAGGGTGCTTTAAAAAGTTTTTTTTTATTAAACTATGGATACTGCATAAAGTACACTATTTAACTTCATTCGTTATATTGATTTACACGTTATTGATACTCACGTTACTGATATTCGTTACTGATATTCGTTATATTGATTATTGATTTGACGTTTATTGATTGAAAGTAAATGTATTTGTTCCCAATGGACACAGGAGAAGCATGTATAGGAGATCCAAAATTGGCGAATTATCAAAATATAACATAGCCAAAACAAAGCCGACCCCGCATAATCAATGTTGGGCTTGAAAATACTTTGGCAATCATGAGTCGCCAACAAAACTGTGGGAATTGACTGAACTGTAACTGAAACATATTTGAGGATTGAAATTAATAATAAAGAGTTATAAATATACTTTTGTTTTCGATTAGGCGTGGCAGGGAATTAATTAGTCTGCATTAGAATTGAAATATAAAAGTTAGTCGTTGCATTGATCTATAAGAAAGGAATAAAATATTTTATGTTCGCTTTAAAAGATTAACTGTTTGATTTAATTTAAATATAATTCGATTAATAAAATAAGTTTAAGTAACTAAAGATATTTTAAAAGGTAGGAAATATGTAAGGACAATTGTGGCATCATAAGCATATTATAATTTATCACACGAGGCATTTTTATTCATAGGTCTTAAATGCAAAATAATAGCGCAGCTCAAAAAAGTGTTTTTTTTTTTTAATTTTTGATTTGAATGATAAATTAGCCTTCATCTTCCAAAAATGAATATTTACTATGAGAAACTAAATTTTTGAAAGATTAATTAAGCATTTTTTATAAGTCCGTAAGGATCTGGTTTTATTCAATCTAGTTGGAGAAAATAGATTTATATTGAAATAAATAATCAAAAAACGTTGTTTTTCTCAGACTGAAATGTGTGTATGTAACGTTCAAATAATAAAATGACTTTTCTTCACTTAGTATAAATTTACAAAAGCAAATTTATACTTAGTATAATTTTATAGTAGGAAATATATGCTTAGTATTTACGATAATAACTGTCAAAGCAAAACATTATGATAAACTTCTTAAAATGTTAAGATAAAATTTGAATTATGGTTGATGAATTCAGTCTAGCATTGTATTTGAAGATGTTAACTTTTAACCCAACAAAAACAAGCTTCTTAATGAAAAAATGGCTATTTTTCCCCATGGAATATAGCTACTTTCAAAAATATGGCTTTAGAATTCTAAATATAACACTTCAATGAATTTTCGCTTAGTATAGTGGATAATTGTTTGCGGAAATAGATAAAAATTGCAAGCGTATTTAAAAGACATTTACTATTTACCGGTATTTTTCATTAAATTTTTTAAATGAATCTTGTGATATACAACTTTAATTATGATTATAATGGATAACGCTTTCTATAAATCTTCCTTAACAAGTTAAGCGTTCAGAAATATTACTTCGATTCCGCAATGCACTTTTCTCAAAATTCAATTTGAAACAAACGGTCAAATAAAGCTATTGCCAGTAGTTGCACGAAACTGTTTTAAACGAACTTAACGAAACTCCTTCCCGAAAATTTTAATATCCGTTACTCCAATTACGAGTTCCTTAATGACGAGGTAAACACCTCGATGTCGCATTTACAAACCGCTGGGTCAGTTATTAATAAACAAGAGTACGGGGCTGTCAGATAAACCGCAGAGGTGAGTTGAGCAGCAATGTGGCTGA